CTGGGTCCATGATGAAGAAACTGTTGTTGATGAACATGTGGAGAGTGTACCAGGTCAAAGTACTCAGAGCAGTGTTTCTGGGACTTTACCTGAAAAGAATGAATGCACACAGCCGAGCAAAGTCACAGAGACTGTGACTAGAAGATACCCTCAGAGAAGCCAGAAGAAACCTGTCCACCTACAGGACTTTGAGACTGGGGATACAGAGGACAAACTACAAACATGCATGGACTATTGCTACAGAGCAGTGTGTGACAAACCTTCCAGGACGCCATCGCTTCAACCAAGTCAAGGCAATGGAAGGATGCCATGAATGAGGAAATGCGATACCTGGAGGAGAACGAGACCTTTTGTCTCACCCAGTTGCCACCCGGCAAACAGACAGTGGGGGGTAGATGGGTTTATGCACTAAAAAGAGACATTGATGGGTCAGACAAATACAAAGCTAGATTCGTAGCAAAAGGCTACAGTCAAAAGCTAGGAACAGACTACGAAGAGATATTCTCACCAACTGCTGACATGACAAGTGTGAGAGTGATCATGCAAAAGGCAGCGCAGGAGAACCTAGTCTTGTCACCAGATGGACGTTAAGACAGCTTATTTGCATGCACTGATTGATTGTGAGATCTATGTAGAGCAACCAGAGGGCTATGAGAAAAAGTCAAAAACAGGTGAAAAGCTTGTTTGTAAGTTGCAAAAGTCTCTCTATGGTCTTAAACAGTCTGGTAGAAACTGGAATGTTATGTTCAGGAGGCAGACACCATCTCCACATTTAAGAGTAGGCTTAAGACTTTCCTCTTTGATAAAGCTTATAGTTAGGGCTGGCTCAGGTAGTCCTGAACCATCCCTTAGTTATGCTGCTATAGGCCTAGACTGCCGGGGGATTTCCCATGATGCACTGAGCTCCTCCCTCCTCTACTTTCTCTCCCTCTGTATGCAACCTTATCCCATTATTGCATGTTACTAACACAACTTCTCCCCTTTCTGGTAGTCTTGTGCTTTCTCGTCCCTCTCCTCTCTCCTCCTATCACTTCCTGCAGGTTTTCTGGCTCTGGAGCTGTGGAGTCTGGATCTGTGGCTGCGGGTCACCTGCTGCCCCCGTGTTCCTGCTCGACACCCTCTGCTGCAACGACTATTGTTGCTAGTCTTATTGTTACTATTGTTATTATAATCATTAACATTACGATGGTTACCATTAACACTATTATAAATATCTGTACCATTTTTCATTTAGTTTATAGCAACATTACCTTCGCTGTCTGTACCTCTGTGTGTATATTATGTAGGCTGCCTCCCTCCCCTCTCTCTCTCCTTACATCCCTCTCTCTCTCTCTCTCTCTCTCTCTCTCTCTCTCCCAACCGGTCGAGGCAGATGGCCGCCCACCCTGAGCCATGGTTCTGCTCGAGGTTTCTGCCTCTTAAAAGGAAGTTTTTCCTTGCCTCTGTCGCCTAGTGCTTGCTCTTGGTGGGAACTGTTGGGCTTCTGTAAATATCATCACAGAGTACGGTCTAGACCTGCTCTTTTATGAAAAGCGCTGTGAGATAACTGTTGTTGTGAATTGGCGCTATATAAATAAAATTGAATTGAATTGAATTGAATTGTTACACACATGTTTGAGTGAGAACAGTTTTGTGCAGAACCCAGCTGATCACTGTGTGTATACAAGAGAGAGAGGCAACAAAAAGGTGATCTTGATAGTATGGGTCGACGATCTGATCATAGCAGCTAGCGATGAGGATGCACTGGCAAGTGTAAAACAAATACTCACCGAAAGGTTTAAAATGAAAGACCTGGGAAAGTTGAAGCACTTTTACCAAACAGAAGGTCAAGTGAAAATGTCACAGAAGAAATACATAGACAAAATATTAGAAAGATTTGAGATGCAAGATTGCGAACCAAAACTAGAATACACAGATGATGCAGAGAAACTGAAAGACCCAAGAAGGTACAGAGATGCAGTGGGGAGCTTAATCTATTTATCCACATGCACCAGGCCAGATATTAGCTTTGTGGTCAGTAAACTTTCTCAGCACTTTGCTGAACCAACGGAGGGACACTGGAACACCGTAAAACATGTGTTCAGGTATCATAAAGGTACAGCAGATCAGGAGTTATGTTTCAGGAGAAACAACACAGAGAAACTAGGTCCAAGAGTGTACAGTGATGCTGATTGGGCATCAGATACATCTGACAGATGTAGTGTGACAGGATATTGTGTCAGTCTAAGTAAAGGAAGCCCTCTGATTTCATGGAAAACAAGGAAGCAACCAACAGTAGCACTATCTACTTGCGAAGCAGAGTACATATCCTTAGCATCAGCCATGCAGGAATGTATCTATTTAGATCAGTTACTTAGGGGCATGGACAAATACAAGTATGCACAAACAGAGGTGTACGAGGACAACCAAGGTACTATAGCCCTAGCCAAAAACCCAGTGAACATGCAGAGGTGTAAGCACATTGATATTAAGTACCACTTCATAAGGGAAATTGTAAATGATGGGAAAGTACTGTCCTTCTAAGCAAATGATTGCTGATGTGATGACAAAACCAGCAACCAAGCTAAAGCTACAGAAGTTTGCTCAGGACATGTTTGGCACTTAAAAGTGCAAAGAGTGTGTTTACATTATTATGGTAAAAGAAGCCATGTTTATGTTGTTTTGATCTCAACTCATTGAGCTAAGAGCGAGTGGGGGTGTTAAGTGTTGTTCAGTGTCACTATCTAATGGCGCCCTTGCTCAATGTAATACGGTAGTAAAGTTTGTTGTTACGGCCTGATGTGATGTCACTACACTCTATGTGGCACATGCGTATGGACAGCAGCCATCCCTCTCTGTCTAATGATGAGATATAAAAACATGTTCGCCTTCTTGAATAAATATGCCTGTCAAAAAGGCTAAAGAGAGATAATGATTGAAGTCTTGCTTGACATCCGGATGCGTTGATGGGAAGGTGGCGCACAGCAAACAGTGTTATATTTACATGACCCCAAACTCACTCCGAAAGTCCACAGTGTCTGTCTGCTTCGCTGCTGCCGGAGCAGCCATTCTACTAAATGTTTTTGCTTACACCAGAAGCGCTGCAGTGCGTCCATAGACTGAGTGTGTCCAGGCAGTAGCACAGCGTCAAGCAGCACAGCACAGATGAACTGGGCAGGAAGTCAGACACAGAAACGGCAGAGAATTCGGTCAATTTTCAAAATAAAATACCCGTTACAGACTTCCGATCGTATATCAACAATAAACACAAAAGAAACATTTTTACTATGTTGCCTATTTAATCATAGTAGAAGCACAAAAAGTAAATACTAATCACCAAATCAACAAAATCTAAATGTGTCGGCAAAGTCTGGCAGGTAAAATACTCTTATTCTGAAATGCTCCCTATGGTAGTTGCTAGATGCACCCGTCATGACGAGATACGAAAGCAATCCACTTTGAAACGAAAGAGCTTTGAAGAATGTAACAGAAGCACAAAAAGGACAATAAAAACAAGTCATTAACGTGAGGCAACTACATGCTCCGCTGCTGAAATGCTTCTGAGGCTTCCAGTGGAAGTTGACGCCGTAAATAAACCGCTGCACACAAGAAGCCTATGCCCCTTCCTCAGAATTCCCATGATGCATGAGCGTGAAGGGAGTTTTGTTAAAATGTGCTAATAAGTTTGCCATTTGTTTGAAATACAAATGTTACTTTATGATTTATGTTTATTAAAACGTGTCTCCTTAGAATCTAGTGTGTTTGTTGGTAATTATCATTCTTGTGGTGGTTTACCATTGAAACAGTAAGTGAAGAGACTTTTTCATTTGATAAGAGCTGCTGAATTCTCTAATTCCTGTGTATCATCATGTGTTGTTGTTGATTGTTTGTGTCTATTACAATCAACTGACCTAAACTTCATAGTCCACGTAGTGGGCCCCCTACCAGCTCTGGGTCAGCTGCACCCATGCTACCGCCGCTTATGATTTGAAGTAATTGAAGCTATCACAACATATGAAAAATAAACATGTGTAGACACTGTATGTAGAGTTTTTTTTTTTTTTTTTACTATATACAGAGCTCAATCTGCTGTTGTGGGGTTTCCAGACAGACACCTATAAGCCCCCTGAAGCCAATTTCACACACTGATTTGTACCAAATTTAACAATCTTTCTGCTGGACAGTGTAGTTTTAGCTAATACATTTTCACACCGCCTGTCTGATTTGTTTTGTGTAGTTTAGGTCTGTGTGAGTTTTTTTATTGGTCAGTTCGATATCTGTATATCTTAGTTGGTGTTTTGGGTTTCTGCCTTTGTGTGTTTTTGCTTGTTGGTCTGATCCTGTCTGTTGTGGAGTCTGTGTTGTTCTGTTATCTTGTCTACCATGTCCACTCTGTGTTATTACACTGCAAAAACTAAAAAACTATTTTGGCTTTACCTGCTCTGTGTTCTGTTTAATCCTCGTTACAGTAGGTTTTCCCTGTTGGTTGTAGTTTACGTGTATTATTTGTGATCTGTCTGCTTGTGTTCTGAATTAGTTTGTTATTTATATTATTCTGATCTGTTCTGTCTTATTTTGATATTATTGGTGCCTGCCCTAGTTATTAGTTTTCCTACTGTTATGATTAGTTTCTGTCTGTCAGATGTCAGTTTATGTTCCCTGCCAGTTTCATTTATTCATTTGGTTATGATCACTTGGTGTTAGCCTGTTTTATTCTGTTCAGCCATCTTAGTCTGTTCTGTCTTGTGGAGTTGTCTGTATTTCTCAGTTACTTGGTCTGTCTTGTCTGTTCCGGGATTTGAGTTCCAGTTAGAGTCTTGCCTTGGGTTTTGCAACCTATTAGTGTCTGTCTGTTTTCTCCTGCTGTCTCTCTGCCTGCCTGTGTCTCATTATTTTCATCTCTGTCACCTGTGTTGCTCCCGCCCTGCTTGTTAGTACCTGTGTATATATGCTTGCTTGTTTCCTTCAGTCTTTGTCTGGTCGTTGTTGTAGCTTGTGATGGCTCCGTCTCGTCTCGTCTCGTCTCGTCTCGTCTCGTGCCCTGCCTAATCAATGGTTATTTTGGAGTATGCCCTTTGAGTTCTTTTGGATTACCTGTTTCTGTTGAATCACTCTGTTCATTTGGATTTCCTAGTCTCTGCCACTCATTGTAAGTGTGCTCGCCTTTTGTTTAATTAAATCACTGAACTGAACCTGCTCTGCTTTGGTGTCCTGCATTTGGGTCCTAAACCTTTAACCACTACACCATTTTGTGACATAAATGAATGAATAACTGATTGAATTAATTGCCTTACCCGAAGCAAAGACACTCAAAGTTTTTACTGGAGAAAAAAAAAGGGTCTGAGCCAGCCACAGCTACCTGCAGCAGTGAAAAAGCCAACTCAAGTCAGCAGCCTTGATACAGCAGTGAGGAAGTCAGCTCCTCCTACCCAACATTGTAAGGCATGTCTCTGTGACTTAGATAACATATTTACCATGTACTCTTACATTCAAGTTGTCACTCAGCTACAATCATATAATCAAATATCGTAGAACATAAAAAGACACAGGAAAAAGTCAATCAATCAATGAGAAAACTATGTAAATGTAAATGCTTCGTACTTGTATAGCGCCTTTCTAGTCTTTTCTAGAATGTGATGCTTATTTTTATCACTTCAGGTTCTTCGTGATTCTAATGATATTACAAGAGGTGATGTTGACGCCATTGATGAAGAGGCTCTTCAGGCTGTAAAAGCACAGGCTGCCACACCCAGACCACACAATATGTTTTGATATTTAGTCTTTCAGTCTACACAACATTATGAATGCCTTCTATGTAATTATCACAGAACAAGTTGTAATGCTGACTGTTCATTAACTTTCTAACTAATCCTTTTGAATGTAATTTGAGTGTTGCATTCTTGCTCATATGGCATGCCTTACAAAACGATGCAACAATGCATTGATACATTGTACCAGTTAGCCTCACAGTGATGGACTGATTTTGATTGCTATTTGCAGATGTTTCACTAACACAGAGCAGCAGATCCAAAACAGCCTCATCTGAAAGTATTTCCTCGGACACTGCAAGGTAACAGGAAGAGGTGCTTCCAGAGTGGCTGGTATGAACAGTATTCATGTCTTGAATACTCTCACAGCCAAGACTGCCTACTGTTAAATTACCTCACATCACTTTAATAATAAATACTTATTTGCAGGTAAGGTGTGTTTGGTTTATGTTTTAATTGTTTACAATTGTCATAATTTTATTTATAAAATGAAGAAATTGATCCATTTATGTTTGGCCTGTGTCGATGCGTTGGATTGTAAGCCTCAGCTGGTTGAATTTAATGTATATTCTAATTATTTATATAAATAATAATAAAATGAATCATTACTTTTGACATGCATCTTTTTTGTGATTATCAGAATCAGCTTTATTGCCAGGTATGTGTACACATACGAGGAATCTGAATCAGGATTGTACATTGCTCATGATGTGCTTACTCATACAAAAATACCATAACACAATAATAAAATAATAATAAAATAAAATTAGACACAAACTACAGTATAGACAACACTAATATACACATTACGAACAAAACAATATAGACATATTGACAAATAGTGCAGTGTTCAGAGTGCAAAGGATGCAAGAATAAACTATTATTCTCCTTATGTACATGTTGAAGGTGGATATGATATACAGGTACACATACATGCATACATGTACACATGTACACAGTGTGATGGAGCATAGTGCAAAGGATGCTGGAAAAAATAAATAAGACCTATGACCTTATGACCTGAGGTAGGTGTATTGGTATACAGTATATACAATATGACATAGTATGAACAGCACTGAAATAGAAAATATATATAATTATACAGTATACCTGATGTTGTTTTCTTTCTCCCCTATATGAATGGCTCTTAAAATGTGTAACTGACTTTTCATAAAATATTACTTATTTAAAAATGGATATGATGTTAAAATTACCAGAGGTTCCTAGAAACTGTAATAGCTTGAAATAGAACAAGAATAGTAAAGTGTCAAATATCAAAACAAGAGTCTGATATTATATACAAACAATTCAGTGAATTAAATTTATATAATATATAGTGCCGAATCAGAAGGAGCTTTATTGTCAAGTAGTGTTTTACACATATGAGGAATTTGCTGTGGTGATAACGTGCTACACGTAGACAAACATACAGTCGACATAAATAAATGTAGAAATAAATAAATATAGAATAGAAGAACGTTGCAGATATATACATGTGCATATATATATGTGCATTATTCTGGATCTGTGCCGTGCAGAAGTAACGCAACGGAAGAGAATATGTGTATATTATATATATATATATATATATAAACTGAAAACATAAAAATATACAACAACAAAGATCAAGGATGAAGATTGCAGCCAATCACCTTCTCTGCAGAGCGAATGATATGCTGCAGCCTGCCCTTGTCCCTGGCAGTGGAAGCAGCATACCAGATGGTGATGAAGGAGGTGAGGATGGACTCAATAATGGTGGTGTAGAAGTGCACCATCATTGTCTTGGCTGGCTGAACTTATTCAGCTGCCGCAGGAAATACATCCTCTGCTGGGCTTTCTTGGTGAGGGAGGTGATGTTCAGCTCCCACTTGAGGTCCTGGGAGATGATGATGCCCAGGAAGCGGAAGGAGTCCACAGTGGTGACTGGGGAGTCACACTGGATGACGGGGGAGGGTGGGGCTGGGCTCTTTCTAAAATCCACTACCATCTCCACTGTCTTCTGAGCGTTGAGATCCAGACTGTTCTGACTGCACCAGGTCACCAGATGGTCGATCTCCCATTTGTAGGCAGACTCATCCCCACCAGAAATGAGCCCAATGAGGGTGGTGTTGTCAGCAAACAGGAGCTTGACTGACTGGTGACTGGAGGTGCAGCTGTTGGTGTACAGGGAGAAGAGCAGAGGGGAAAGAACACAGCCTTGAGGGGAACCGGTGCTGATGGTCCTGGAATCAGAGACATGTTTTCACGTGCTTCACGTGCTGCTTCCTGTCCGTCAGGAAGTCTGTGATCCACCTGCAGGTGGAGTCAGAGAGAGAGACAGCTGGGAGAGCTTGTCCTGCAGCAGGGCCGTGATGATGGTGTTAAAAGCAGAGCTGAAATTCACAAACAGGATCCTGGTGTAGGTTCCTGGGGAGTCCAGGTGCTGGAGTATGTAGTGAAGGGCCATGTTTACTGCATCATCTACAGATCTGTTGGCTCTGTAGGTGAACTGCAGGGGGTCCAGGAGTGGGTCTGTAATGGATTTTAGGTGGGATAACACAAGGCGTCCAAAGGACTTCATAACCACAGAGGTCAGGGCGACGGGTCTGTAATCGTTTAGTCCTGTGGTCCTTGGTTTCTTGGGGACAGGGATGATATGATAGTGGATGATTTGAAGCAGGCTGGCACATGGCATGTCTCCAGTGAGGTGTTAAAAATGTCTGAACTGGTTCAGCTCATTAGCCAGGCGAAAATCGTTTATGGAGTAGGGGACTTTGGGTTTATAGTTTGTGATCTGTCTGAACCCCCTCCAGACAGAAGTGGCATCGTTTGCAGAGAACTGGTTCTTTAGTCTCTCTGAGTACAGTCGTTTAGCTTCTCGCACCTCCTTGCTAAACCTGTACTTTAATGCCCTGCACCTTGCCCTGTTACCACTCCTAAATGCCTCCTCCTTTTCCAACCTCAACTGTCTGAGTTTAGCTGTAAACCAGGGTTTGTCAGTGTTATAACTCACCCTGGTGCGTGTTGGTATACATGTGTCCTCACAGAAGCTAATGTAGGACGTCACAGCCTCTGTAAACTCATCCAGATTGTTGGTAGCCCTCTTGAAAACATCCCAGTCAGTGCAGTCCAAACATGCCTGAAGATCCTCAATAACTTCACTAGTCCATGTCTTTGATGTCCTCACTACAGGTTTACAGAGCTTTAGATTTTGCCTGTAAGCAGGAATCAGATGGACCATCATGTAACCAGAGTGTCCTAGTGGAGCACGTGTGACTGCGTGATAGGCACTGCTAACTGTGGTGTAGCAGTGTTCCGCTCTCTGGTTGGATGGAAATCACAACAGTTATCTCAGAGCTCTTTTCATAAAAGAGCAGGTCTAGACCATACTGTGATGTTATTTACAGAAGCCCAACAATTCCCACCAAGAGCAAGCACTAGGCGACAGAGGCAAGGAAAAACTTCCTTTTAAGAGGCAGAAACCTCGAGCAGAACCATGGCTCAGGGTGGGCGGCCATCTGCCTCGACCGGTTGGGGTGAAGGAGAGAGAGGGAGAGAGAGGGGAGGGATGCAGCTTACACAATATACACACAGAGGTACAGACAGTAAAGGTAATGTTGCTATAGACTGAATGAATAATGGTACAGATATTTATAGTAGTGTTAATCATAATAATCAAAATGTTAAAGATAATTATAACAATAGGACTAGTAACAATAGTTGTAGCAGAGGGTAGCGAGCGAATAGTCCGACGCCCTCAAAAATAGCAGTGGAAAAACAGTGAGCTGCAGCACACCTCTCCTCTCCCTTCCAAACACTAGCTACCCTCCAAGCAGTCAATGGACATAAAGTTGTTACTGTGATGTAGAGACAAAGCTCAGTTAAAACTTTATGGATGAAAGATACTTTTGCTACAGATTAATAACTCACCACTCTGAAACTCTTGCTCCAGTCCAAATTGCCAACCTGGTCGGCAACATGTAGCCTACAGCTGAATCGAAGATGTTCACCGGCCTTTCGCTGACCTGCCCTTCTCTGCTTCTAATTGCTAGTAGTCCTTAACTAGGAACTGCACATGTGCAACTCCCAACAAAGATCATTTAGAGAGACAAGATGTATCACTCCATAGCTAAAATGAAGCCTTCAACACACAGGGTGAAAAGAGGAGCTGCAGCAATGTGCAGTATGACAAAAAATATGGTGTTTTTTGAAAATTAAACCATGTAAACCTGTTCTGGTACAACCTCTAAATAAGATTTTGAACCTGAAAATGAGCATAATGCCACCTCTTTAAACGTGGAGACGGTGTCTGCCTCCTGAACGCAAACTGGAACCTGGTTCCACAGGAGAGGAGCTTGATAGTTGAAGGCTCTGGCTCCCATTCTACTTTTGGAGACTCTAGGAACCACAAGTAACCCTGCATTCTGTGCTCTCGTGGGGTAGTAAGCTCTTTAAGATAAGATGGTGCCTGACCATTAAGAGCTTTGTAGGTGAGAAGAAGGATTTTAAATTCTATTCAGTATTTTACAGGAAGCCAATACAGATAAGCTAAGACAGGAGAAAATATGGGCTGTGTCCGAAATCCCACAGCCATTCACTACTCCCTAACCCCTGTGTAGGGTGTTGTATGTAGTGCACTACATAGCACTACTACAAAACAACACTTTCGGACACTACTCTAATCACTGTTTCGGGCGGCTGTGGCTCAGGCAGTAGAGCGGGTTGTCCGTTAATTGAAAGGTTGGTGGTTCAATCCCCGTCTCCTCCAGGCTGCATGTCAAAGTGTCCTTGGGCAAGATACTGAAACCCGAATTGCCCCAGGTGGCTCTTCCACCAGTGTGTTGAATGTGTGCGAATGTTAGTTTGTGTTTGAGTACTAGGCTTAGTGTGTGAATGGTGAATGCAGATTTGCTTTGAGTGGTCAGAAAGCCGCTATACAAATGCAGAGCATTTACATTAATTTCGGTGCCGTTAATTACGTCATTGCCATCGGACAATAAGTTTTTTCTATCAGCGCAATGCATGATGGTATGTAGGTCTTGGTTAGTGACCATCGTTTGTACACTACTTGCATTCTGGGATACATTGAGTGGACTATATAGGGTATAACAATTATCACTATAAATTCGGACAGAACTACAAAATGGCGAGCTCACTATATAGGGATATATAAGAGGTTTAATTAAAGCTACTTTAAAGTACTATGGTACATAGCCTGTTGATAAAGATAGATTGACCATATCTAGTAAAGAAGTGCTGACTAAGGGTAAAACTTCTTTAAGCAGCGTAGTCGGGATGAGGTCTAAGAGGCAGGTTGATGGTTTAGATGAAGAAATTATAGAAGTTAGCTGGTAAAGATTGAGGGAAGCAAAGCAGTCATATATGGAACTCATTTGAAAGTCTTGTTCTTAGTCTTTCGCACCCAAGTTGGAAATCACTGCAACCAATTCTTTT